CTAGAACTTGACTGCTAAGTAAAGGTTAATAACCTTTACTTAGCATTCAAGTATGGTTGCGTGGAAGATTTGGCCATTTCTACACTGAATTTTCCAAAAATAACGCGTAAATTTTTTTTTTTTTTTGCTCAGTGTGTCGTAATTTTTAAGTTGGCAACATTCTTCTTTTTGCAAATATTTAATCCCTTTATAGCAGTAGACCGAAAAAGAAATTTTTAGTGCACGTTATGTACCAAAAATATTTTGTGAATCAAAGCCGTTTGTTATTACAATGAGAATTGAAAGACATTTATAGAGTAGAGTTAATTTATTAATTATCATATTTTATACAAATAAATGGCAGACATAACTCAATATAGATCCTGTAAAGAAAACAAAACATTTTTAAATTTGGTAAATTTTATTAGGAAAAGATATAGTAAAGAATCAGAGATTTGAGACTTTAAATAAGTCAACTTCAATAATATAAATTTGCTAATTAGGACAATCATTGTTACTCAAGAACTCAAGACAATATTTTTTTCATCTTTCATCTGTTAGTATTCCGCTCTGAGACATTAATTGAATTTTTTATAAAGTAAATGATAATCTAGTATACAGAAATTAGTAAAACCAGTTAACACCAGATGGCGGCAGGCACTTTTGACTATTGGCAATGTCTGGTGGCTGATAAGTCTGGTGAGCATAAAAAAAGAAGGTTTTATTTATTAATTTATTTATTAATTTTTGTCTAAGAATTAGATAGAAAAAGTAATAAATTTAAAGAAAAAAACTGGATTTCTAAATGATACTTTTTTTTAGCAAATAAACAAATATGTTTATTTATATTGAGAGAAATTTAATTACTATTTAATCACAATATTTTCAATAAACTTCAGTTTCTCAGAACCACATACATTCTCATACTCAGAATCATGTTCAGAGAGCCACTCATGTCCTATAACATCATTAATTGATTGGAATTTTCACTGTCGGGATTATTATCCTATCATTATATGAGTAAAATTTTAATTCGTCGTAAATTAATTTATAAAATATTACGTGTTTATTTAAGTACTTTCATCAAAACTGTAAACAATACATTATATTGATATGACTAAAAATTAATTTCTTCGATGTAATTTAGCAATGTTAAATATTGTTAATACTATGAAATGTTAAATACATAATACATATAATATATTTATTATCTTAGCAGATGGCTTTCAAATTGAAGCAACTTGCTACAAATCTAGACAAACTTTGAGAAATCCAAAGTTCTCATTTTTATGCCAGAAATAAGCAATTTAAATCCATATTCCAGAAAGTTCTTCTATTAGGCTTGAGGAAATAGGATAGAGAATGCAAATTTATTTGTACCTTTTTAAATTGTGGTGTCACTGAAATGTCCAACCCTAGTTGAAAAGAAATGCCAAATCTGATCAGAGTCTGATTATGGCACACGTGAATGCAATATCATCACCGTTTGATTCGTTTTAAAAATGAGGCAATACAAATATTTTATACAGCAAAATAAAAATATATATTTTCAAATATTTATTTTGATTATTTTTCAAATATTTATTATATTTAGTTTCTTTTACAGCATTTAATAATTGTTGATTAAATAAATTCCAATATTTCGAATATACATTTTCTTTTTATACTTGTTTTGATTGTTGTGGATTTTACTTAGAAAATTAAATGAATAAAATTTTCCGTAAATTAATTGGATTAAAATATTTTATTTTTAGGTAAAATATATTTTTATGATCATGGTATTGAGAACGCATATCTACCATTTCCAGAAGATTTTGTCATGGTTGATGTAGTTGAAGCCCCTGTAATACAAGAAACAGAATCAGGAAGTAAGCTCTTTTTAAAATGTTGTGTGGATTCTTAAAATACAATTAATAAATAGTTTAATTATCTTTTAATTTCACAAATATACTGATATTTTTATAAATGTATTGAATCAAAAATATTTATTGCAGCATATAAATCAATATTTCAGTACCCATACACACTCAGGAGCTAAAACATTATGACCACCCCTACATTTTGCAATGAACTCGCCTGGATGACGTGGAAGGCACGTGATCAGGTGAAAGTGGTATTTAACTGCTGCTGGAGAGTCTGAAGAATCATTCTTTCACTTACTTCTGTGCGTGATGGGAAAGGCTGCGGATCTAAGCGACTTTGATAGAGGGCAAATTGTAATGGCTCGAAAGCTCGGAACAAGTATTTCCGAAACTGCAAGACTCGTGGGTTGTTCGCGATCTACAGTTGTTAGTACTTATGTAAAGTAGATGAATGACGGTGAAATCAGCAGTAGACGACATGGTGTTGGACGTCCACACGCTATCAAAGAAAAAGGTCGTCGGAGACTGTCTCGCAGGGTGAAGCAAAATCGGAGCAGGACAGTGGCTCAGCTGACAGCCCAATACAATGCAGAGCCAAGTAGAATAGTATCGGAGCACACTGTTCCGTGGACACTGTTGGATATGGGGCTACGCAGTAAACGTCCCACTCGTGTGCCTTTGCTGACCAAGCGTCATAGCCAACTGCGCCTGCGCTGGACCCGGGAACATCGTGACTGGTCCATGGATCAGTGGGAGAGAGTTGCCTGGTCAGATGAATCGCGGTTTGTCATTCATCACGCCGATGGCCGTGTCAGGATACGCCGTCTTCCAGGCGAATAATTGCTCCCTCAATGTACACAGGCACAATTACGGGTCCAGAGACGCCCAAGAGAATGTCCCCCAAAGCATAATACCGCCATCACCGGCCTGTATATGATAATGTGCCTGTGGTTGATAATTTCATACACAGGCACAATCACGGGTGGTATCATCTCTGGGACCCAGGCACAATCATACACAGGCACATTATCATACACAGGTCATACACAGGCCGGTGGTGGCGGTATTATGCTTTATGGGACGTTCTCTTGGGCATCTCTGGGACCCGTGATTGTAGTAGAGCAGACCATGAATACAGGATATCTGAACATCATTGTGGACCAGTTCCACCCTTACATGGCCTCTGTTTTTCCAGCTGGAAATGGAATGTTCCAACAGGACAACGCCCCTTGTCACAAGGCTAAAATTGTGTTGGAATGGTTCCAGGAACATGATGCTGAATTCCAGTTAATGTCCTGGCCGCCTAACTCACCGGATCTCAATCCTATAGAACACATTTGGGATGTCCTGGGACGGCAGCTCAGAGTTCAAAGACCACCAATTCGCAATATCTCCGATTTGCGTGATCGTTGCTCAAACATCTGGTACAATCTGTCTCCGGCCTTCTACCAAGCACTTGTGGCATCCATGCCAAGGCGGGTTGAAGCTGTGTTGAGCGCCAAAGGGGGCCAACTCGTTATTGACAGGTGGTCATAATGTTTTGGCTCTTGAGTGTATGTCTTTCAATTAAAAAAAAATTATTTGTTGTCTTTTTTTTAGAAAACATATCTAATAGATTAAATATCCCGAAAACAGTAAATAGTTATAAATTAAATAGTGAAATTTTATATTACATGATTATTGAGTAAGTGTTATTTTTAGTGTTGATACTGCAATGTATCAAATGAAAATTTGTTAATATTTTTCAACACAATTAATGTTTGTCTAAAATGAAGATAGATGGCAGTAGTGAGCATTACATTATCCAGTGCTACTCAAACTTATCATTGTGCCCTTTTAAGAGAAGAAACTTCGGTGTCCGCCTTTGATATCTTGTCATTGCTTTGTATCAAACAAGCTTTGATATTTTTTTCCAACTCAATTTATATTAGCAGTATATAAATAATAGGTATTTTTATCTCAAAGTAAAAATTCCTAAAATATCATTAATAGTAGTAGCATGTATTTCAATTTAATTGATTCTTAAATGATAACAACAAATAATTATTTTCTTGCTGCAAAAATAAACCAATAATTTAATAAACATGGCCACTAATTAAATGGTTAAACTTCTGATTTAGATAGGTTATAAAGAAATATTTAATTTTATTATGATTTTATTTTTATGATTTAATTTTATTTAATTTTTTAATAATTTTATAGTAGCTAATTAAAAAAAAAAATCACATCCGTATAAATACATTGCAAAATTTAAATAAATTTCTAACTGTATTTTTTTAAATAAAAATTGTTCTTTTTTTTGTGTTCCTAGGTTATGAAATAATTGGTGGAAACAGTCATAAATCTTTAACTACGGGTGTATCTCACAGAAAAAGAAAAAATATCCCATATGATCAAGAATTCACTTTCAATATACAAAAAAGGAACGAAAATTTTTTAAGACATAATCCTTTTTTAAGATACCCTGTGAAGAAAAGCATATTTCCAAAAGATGAACATTATGGAAATCAATATATGCATTCGAAAAGAAGACCCTTTAGAAATTATAAAAGTAAAAAAATTAAAGAAATTAACCCAAACGGTAAGCTTTCAGAAAAAATATTTAATTCAAAAATTTGATACTTAATTCATTCCATGTAAATGAGTGCAGTGTGATCAGTCACCTGTGGTGAACTCTGAAGCATGAACCCAGATGGGTAAGGGGGGGGGAAGCACTACACGCATTGTTATGGTCTAGAATAGGGATGAGCAAACTTTTTCGGTCGCGGGCCAAAAATCGGGGGAAAAAAAAGTTTGGCGGGCCAAGATAAATTTTTCTAAAATTTTAAGAACAATATACAAGCATTACAATTTAAATATGTTTTGTTTGTTGTTGTTGTTGTTGTTTCTTATCCCACTTGGCTGGCCAAGCCCACGAGCCCATATGGACTCATGATTGAAGGGGAAGGAAGCAGCTTCTGTTGTGATGGAGCACCCGTAGGTAGAAGCCTGACTTTTGCTCCGTGACGCTCTTACAGTCATAGGAGACCGGGACCTACGGCTTAAAGTGGATTCCGAACCACTACAAACATCCATGGCACCGCCGGGATTCGAACCCGAAACCTGTGGCACCGAGCGCCAGAGCGCTAGACACTTGGCCATTCAGGTCCCAAATTTGCCAACGGCACGCAGTGTTCCCAGCTGGTCACCCACCCAAGTACTGACCGCGCCCAATGGTGCTTAACTTCGGTGATCTAACGAGAACCATTTAAATATGTTAATGAGATTAAAGAAATTGCGATTTCCTTTTTAAAAGTTCCTTATATTGAAGTTCGAAATGAGATGTATTGATTCTAAGGAACGAGGCTAAATGCTCATCTGTCAGTCTATTTCTGAAATATTCTTTCTAAAGGTCATAGTTGAGAACATTTGTTCACATATATAAGATGAAGCAAGCATAGTACTGATTTTCTGGGCGTGAGATATTAAATTTGGGAAACTTACTTTCGATAATGATTTGCAAAACTCGAACTTGTTGGCGCCAATCTACAGCTATAATTAACAAAGAACTTCCGCTTTTAACACTTTACCGATTGAAAGTTGTCTGTGCTTGCTATTTCCGTCGATTTATGTTTTGTAGAACAGAAATAGAGAAAGTAAAAAGATCATCAGTCCTTTGAAAAAAAGGAAGAAAAAATATATTTAATCAAAGTAGAAAAGGAGATGGATATATAATATATAATTATATATTTCTTTTAATTTGCCTTGTACCTGCAAATTAAAATCCTATCCGCGGGCCGGATAGAATCTTCCGGCCGGCCGGAGTTAGCCCGCGGGCCGTAATTTGCCCATCCCTGGTCTAGGAATTAAAACACATAGCACAATATAGTGGACTCTAAAACACACACATCTCTTTTATTTCAAAACCAGACTCACACTGCTGGAGTTACATTTCTCTCTCTCTCGGCTCTCCAGCTCACCCCACCCAGACAAAATAACTAATATCAAATAATCCTATATAATAATAATATATAATAGACAAAATAACTAATATCAAATTTTAAAGTGATTATTAAGCATAAACAAATAAAAACAGTACTCCAATATAGTTAATTAACAAAATGTTACATTTTAAATTTTAATATACTAATTATATAAATTAAATCCACAACTTTATTTAATTTTTAATTAACTTATTATTTTATGATATATTTATAATTTCATTTTGATAACTAAAATAAAAACGAACTTAATTTTGTTCAAATTAATTTTTTTTTTCTGGCAAAAGTACAAACTTTATTATTAAACACAAACAAAATTATTAGTAGACAGTTGTTATATTATTATTGATTTCTATATATTTTCTAAAAATAACCTGATTTGCTATACTAATGCATTTCCTCATGTAAAAATGATATGCAAAAAAATTAACAAACTTTTTTTTTAACTTCAGATTTCTATGGAAATAATTTTAAGCAAAACAGTGAAATCAGACCGGATAGTTATGAGGCATATGACTTCAAGACCAATTTCGGAAACAAATTTCAAAGGAACTGGAACGAACCCCCCAATTACAGAAGAATTCGAAATGGAAATTCAGGCTACGATTTCCATAAAGCAAGTTTCCCATATCCTGAAAGGAATGAAGGATTTTTTAACGAAAACAGAAAATCTATAGGACGCAGCAAAACTTTTAGGAGTCTTGATTTTGAAGATGGTGCATCTGAAGAAGAGTTTCCAGAGAGTCCAGTTTTCAGTCAATCAGAATTGACTGATGATTGGGAACACAACAATCAGTACATGAATGAAAATATATTGCCTAAGTCTAACACAAATTCGAGAGCATTAATAAAACCAATGGAAGAGTTTTATGAAAAGCAACCCAAAAGAGCAATAAGGTCTGAATTAAGTACAGTCAGAGTCCTGTGGTCCGATTCGGAGATGGAAGATGGTAAAATAGTTGTTATTAGTAGAATAATAAGCCTAATTATTCAAATATTAAAAAAAAAATTGTAAAAGAAATTTAGTATATTATGACAGTATTAAATACGAACTTTAAATAAATAAAAAAATAATCAATATAAAATTAATAAAATGTTATTATAAAAATATTTGTGCCAGAAAGGCATCACATATTGTTGTGTAATTATTAGTATTCTTATAATTACTTATCATTATTTTCTCAACTGAAATTAAAACTTTAAATAGATAGATATTTTAAATTGTTATTATAAAAACTTTTATTGTTGATCAGAATTATTTTTGTGAATCAAATAAATGTAAAACTAAAACTTACTTAATTTTAATTTCTAAATATTTGTTGCTAATTTTTGATTTGCATTAAATTAAGTTTTAATTTTGAAATATAAAACTTAATTAGAAATTTATATCACTGATAATTTCTCATAACGTATTGCTTTCGTTTCTTTTTATAAGATGTATTCCTTTTTCTCATAAATAAAATTTTCATTTTGGTATATTTAAATACTATTCTATAGCAATTAAAATTTCGTAGTAATCACTAATTAATAATAATCACTAACAAAAAATGCTATAGATCCTTAATTACTATGAATTAATTAATAATCAGTAATAATTACGAATTCCTTGTAATTACTAATTCATATAACTAAATTGTACTAATTATTAATGCATAGTTATTATTAATTTGTACTAGTTATTAATTCTTAGTAATTACTGTTTTTTATATTAATTAATAAAATACGAAAACAAGTATTGTTTTAGTATTTTAGTTATACGAATTAATCTTTGATTTTCCTGCAATAAGATGAATATTAATAATGAAGCAAAGATGATAATGTTTAATAAAAACATTTTTTTATCTATTTTGCAATGTTCACATCCAGTATATACAACTTTAAAAAAATTCTATTGTAAATTGTTATGTGAAAAATTATAAAATCTTCTTTCTTACCCTTTTACAAGTAATAGTAAACTTTCAAAGTTTTAATTTAAATGTGGATGATAATAAACAAATATGTTATGTACATTGACCAATGATTTCGAATTTATCATTCTTATTTATAAATAAAATTCTTAAAAATCTTAAGTTTAATTTGTATGTGCGGATGAATAACTTTTTGTTTTTATCATTGCAGATGAGGAATTCAACTTTGTCTCTGGAAGTCAGAAATTATCATCACATTTCACTTTACGTCTAATTGTTATTAAGGTTCTTTTCACAATTATTTTTTTATAATAAAGTTCATAAAATATTCTCCAAGATTTAATGAATTTTCTTTATTAATTAAAAACATTTTTTTTGTACACGTTTCTTTTATAAAACGATTTTGGCTCCTCAAAGTGTTCGTGTAACGCGCAGTTTCCATAGGAGGAGGACCCCTGGCTCAAATCATCCTAAATTTCGTTTTACTGCAAAGCTCACCTAATAGATCACGTGATTTCTTGGCAATGGTCGTACCAATTAGGGAGTTCCAATGTGGTTTAAAGAGCCACTAAACCTCCCCATCTTAAAGTTGGTTAAAATATTTTCACTATTGTAGTTGCTTAAATTATAGAGTAAAAATATAAAAGAATCTAAGAAAAACACCTCCTGCATTATCCTGCAAAATCTATCGGTACAATTAGGTGTCCGTTCCACGATGCCCAAAAAAATAAAATTAAAGTTAAAAATAAAATAAACTGAAATAAAATAAAATGACATAAAAATAAAATAAAAATTGCAAAAACAGGTTACATCAATTGAAAAGCAAGTTCAGGTTACAAAAGGAATTTCGGTTGCGTCAAACACATCAGCTCAAAGTAAAAAATAAAATGTAGTACAGGCAGGTACCAATAGATGGCGCAATGAGTTTGGTAACTTTCAACAAAAAAACAACAGTTGTTTCGTTGGAAAAAATGATTTTTTTTTTTATTTCGCTTTTTACAATATTAATAATTTAAAAAGATATATTAGTATTTAAAACAAAGTTATGACCAGAGCTATTAAAGGATAAACCTGTTGAATTAAAAATTTAAGACTAATAAAATAATTAAAATAAAATAATTAAATGAAAAATTAAGTTAACAAAACTAAATTTAATAACTATTATCAAAAACAAAATTTGTGAAGAGTGTGATAGCCAGTAGGTTAGCCAGGATTGCGCATCGCAACAATTAATTAATAATTTAAAAGCTTATGAGACTCCGGCCACAGTGTGCAGAATCACTCGGCGTCATTTCTTCATCCCATGAGAATCTTTTTAGTTTCAGTCTGAATTTTGGCTTCCCTCAGGCATGATGTTGTCTGGCTGCTGACACTTTGAGCGTGTCGAAACGATTTTTGCCCATAAAGGTATTGCAGCAAATTGCTAATAGCTGTAAATTATATTAGAAGTGTATGTTGTGTTCCTGTAATCATCCTAATTATTATTATGTAAATAAATATTAATTAGGTGAATTTCAGTCTTCAAGAACTGCGTTGTCATGCAGTATCTAACATTGAAATAATTGAGATTCTTTAATCTTCTCACGATGTACAAAGAAATTTGAGATAGCCGAGGAACTTTGGATGCTATATTTGAACAATTTAAAATTTTGTACAATAAGCGCTTTAATCTAGAATTAAATATGAATGCAAATCCCAAAATGATGTGATTCTGAATAAAACGGAATGATTTTTTTTTTTTTAAATTGTCCTTTTCTTTTTATAAAATTAAAAATGCAAGGAGGCAGATTTTTTTATTATTTTTAATTATACTTTTGCATTTTGGTGGCAGTTAAAAATTCATTTGGCGTTAATATTTGCTTGCTTACATCATTCTATTCTATTTATTATTTAAAAATGGCTTGTAATTGTAAGGAAATAAAGAAGCCAACGGCCGTACCATGCTGAATATACCGGTTCTCGTTAGATCACCGAAGTCAAGCATCATTGGGCGCGGTCAGTACTTGGGTGGGTGACCACCTGGGAACACCGCGTGCCGTTGGCAAATTTGGGACCTGAATGGCCGAGTGTCTAGCGCTCTGGCACTCGGTGCCATAGGTTTCGGGTTCGAATCCCGGCGGTGCCATGGATGTTTGTAGTGGTTCGGAATCCACTTTAAGCCGTAGGTCCCGGTCTCCTATGACTGTAAGAGCGTCACGGAGCAAAAGTCAGGCTTCTACCTACGGGTGCTCCATCACAACAGAAGCTGCTTCCTTCCCCTTCAATCATGAGTACGTATGGGCTCGTGGGCTTGGCCAGCCAAGTGGGATAAGAAACAACAACAACAACAGGAAATAAAGAACAGCATTCCAAAACTGA